ACCCAATAGCTCACTAGCCACAAAGATAATTTGTCTGAGTCAGTACCAGAGGAAGGAAGAAATTTGGGGTTGAAAGGTATCTGATGCGAGAACACATTGGCATGCCTTTCTGGCAGCTCTGCCTACACTGATTTGCTGCAGGCAATTCTCAATCAACATGTGAAGAGCACTGGCAGGAGCTACCTCCTAATTATAAATCATTTAGTCAATCAGAATATAGCTCCTCAGCTAGGCAAAGATCTCATTTCATCTCAAGAGCCTTACATGGAAAGAAAAATGAAAACACTGTACCAAGAGGAGGGAAAAGCTTTATTTAAAAGTGACAACAAAAATGAAAGCTTCAAGATCCCATTTGTGGTGTAGCTTACAGCAACTTAGGTACTTGTCAAAGATAATTAAGGCAGGCCATCTGCAAATGCTTATGAGTGGAAACGTTATCCCCAATTTCAGCAGTACAATGTGTTACAGCCTCCTCACATCCCATCCTGCTAAGCACTCAGCTGCTTTGCTTGTTGCTTCCAGGCCTCTGGTAGCACTTTCCTCTTCCTGCAGCAAGAGCGCGCGAGAGCTTTGCCTGAGCTTCACCCTTCCTTTCTGCCATGCAGAAAGGGAAAGCATCTCCCTGCTCAGGGTTAGGGACGGAAGCACCCCAAGAGGAGCCAGGCCTGGTGTCACTCTCGCACAAGGGCACAACTCCCGGACACCGCCTGTCCTCTGGCCTGCTCCCACACACAGGGCAAGGAGACCCATGCACTGCTTTTAATATAAAAATGTTTACTTTCTCCTTAGCAACATATTTCTTTTTGTCCATGAAGTTTTCGTTGTATCCTGAGGAAGCCAAAATTGCTCAAAGCTCATAAAAAGCACCAGCCGCACCGTTGTAGGCAGAGCCACAAGCTTTCTATTGCCCACCAACAGCCAGCTATCCTGGGCAAAACTGTCTCTACGTAGATTTCTGAAAATGTCTTTCAAAATTTGGGAAGGGACACATTTGGACATGACAAATACTAGGATCTTTAGAAATCCATTTTTATTGTTGTTGTGGGCTTTACAAACTCTGTACTGACCTCAGGATTTCTTTCTCTGCTTATTGACCCAGTATACGTGCTTAGATTCAGGCTTTAATCAAAAAGAAATCTCATTTGCCAAGCAAAGTAAGCTACCAAACAGCTCTCCAGTTGGTGAATGTCCACTTCAGAAATAGTGACTAGGACCTCCTGTCCTTGGGACAATGTCTAGCTCCGGCTCACCAAAAACTCTACTTCGAGCAAAAATAGGTGAAATGCATTCTGCACATTCTGCCAGCTAAACAGGGATTCCAGCAGTGAGAGTTTGCTTTGACATGCACATAATGCAAAGATGTTGTGCTTACACTGAACCTTCAAAGAAGGTAGGGGAAAATGAAGCCGTGTCTCTTCTCTTTGTAAAGCACTCCAAAGAATGCCCAGGATTTCTGGTTTTGTTTTTAAATTAAGAATCTTATATATAAATATACACACACATGCACACATGTACTTTTAAGTTCAGACCTTGCTCACCTGGTAGAATATAACGTTAGAATAGACCCCTATACTGAAATAGCTTGAGTAAAGTATACTTGTAGTGTCTGCAGGCCCATCACACTTGGAAAGGAAAAAATATTCAATGTGGAATTTGTACTGCCTCAAATTGGCTGAAATAAAAGTAAATCTCACTATTTGTATCTTTCTGTTCAGAATATTTTTAAAGAGCCCACAAACTTTTATTTCTTCAAAGTAAATACATCAAATACTACAATATTTAGCAAACATTCAGGTTTTTACCATCATACCTACCGAGAGAATCACTCCAGATTTACACTAGTGTACTTGAAAATTGAATTTGGCCCAAAGTCTTTAGAATACAATTGTCAATTGTGCTTCTTTTTCCGCCAAGTGGACACTTCTCTCATGTATTATGTTTAAATAAGGTTAAATGCTTCACTGCACCCTCATCTTCTAGTGCTTTGCATTTAGACAGTCTTACATCTATACGGACTCTGCCTTTGCATGCTATGCCCGGGGCACTGCCAAGTCAGACCGTCTCTTAATGAGAATCTCTGGTTTTCCAAGAGCCAGTGCTAGTTATAAAGTAATACCTCTCCTTTGCAATGTAATACTTCACATTTGCAACTACTCCAGACAGTAGTTCTAGGTATATTAGGTATGCATGGTCACGTCCAGCTTACAGATAACCAGAACAAAGCAAAGAAACGAAACTGCCGCCTACAGACAGGAGGAGGCAGTCCTCTCTCTGTCAGCTGGACCAGTGCAGTTGCCATCCCCCAGGGCTGCACACAGAGCTTTCAGTTCAAGAACATCTCAGCAAAGCCTCGCCTTAACTCCAGCCATATCCAAACTTGCTGTGAGAATACGTCATGACCTTGCTTTAGTAGTCCCCTCTTTACCTCAAATCCTCAACACTTAGCATTTCTGCTGACTTCCTGCAGAGATCTGGACACTGAACCAGGTCGGAGGCTGGTTTGGACACTGGAACCCAACAGTTGGAGATGAACATGCATTCCCTGTATTTGGAATATGGTAGTAACCCTCATTTTCTGTTTACTGTTGGGAAAATGCTTAAGAAATACTATTTTTACAGTACTGTCTATCTCAGATTCCAAAGGGCCGGAGAGTCGGCAGAGATCCAGGACTCGCCACAGTCAGAGGCTGGAAAGCACTTCTTAAAAACAAACAAATGAACAAGCAAACAAAAAACAGACACAAATCCAAATACGGAAAACGATACACAGAAATCCCAGTTCCAAGAGTCATGGAGGATTTCTGTGAAGGAACAGAAACCAGTTCTATCAATGCCATTTTTATTCTGATCTAGCATATTTGATGGCAAGGAGAAATCTAGTACCTGTACCCAACACAAAGAATGCTTTTCCTCTGAGAAACTTTAAAATATGAAACACAAAATTATGCTAGCAGTCTAATCATATGATTAAGTTTTTAAATTATATTTTTAAATGAAAACTATGTCTTTATAGTTCTACCTAGCAAAAAAGACCCTTTAGTATTATCCTTTAATTATCAATATAGAGTTTAAAATGACAAGCCTCCAAAGAAAAATACGGCTAATTTTAAAGGTATTTTTCCCATTGAAATAATAAGTTATTCATTGATAGCTTCTAGACAGTGAGATGCATTTAAGACTTATCCAGTCTCAACCTGATCTTGCCATAATTCTTGAACCTTCCACTGAACTCAGGGAAGATCATGCTTACCTCAGACTTGGCCCTCTTCTTCTTACAGATAGCTTTTTTTCCTCTGAATACCTCCTGGCCATTGATAGCCCTGTACAGATGCTTCCCTTAACATTTACCTATTTTTCATGTTTCAAACTCTGATGAAGAATAAAATTCATGCTGAATCTTTCAGTAAGGGCATATTAAAAATATGGGAAATGGGATTTTTCAGAAAAGCAGCAGCACCTCGAACTGAAGAACATGATACCTGATCACAAATATTACAGTTCTTGTATTCTTTGATTTTCTGTGGTAGAAAAAGAAATGGAGATGCACAGCGGATAGCCAGAACAAGCCACGATCACCTTGCAAAAGGAAGCACTGTGGAGATAACAGCAACTGCAGAAAATCACTCAAGGTGGGATGCTGAGCACCTCATTTCAGATAGGCATCTACACGGGGTTAGTCATGCCGGTCCTCTCTGTTAGAAACTGGGGAAGGAGCAGCGCTGGCAGAGAGCATCACAACTGCCTCATCAGCCACCTGGAAAGTCTCAGCAAGTGGCCTAAGGTAAAAGCCCAACTCCCAGATGATTGAAATCAGGTGAGATGACCCCTGCCCTAAGCCCTAACTCAGCAACTAAAACACCACATGCCTTTACACTCACTGTCTCATGACTTTATTTTTGCCCCTCTCACTTTTAGCACTTTCCTAGTGCTGTCCAAATGCTACTTACTGACTTGTCAGATATCTTTTTCTTCATAGGATGTACAGGAGTTGGCAAGAGTGATACGTGGCTGGATGAGGAGAGGCTGACAGAGAGATTAGAAGGAAAAAAAAACCTTAAAACAAACAAACAAAAAATAGGCCTTTGATCTCAGAAGAACATGGTAATTAACAAATAGGCTTTAATCTATGAATTTTTGGCTTGCTGCTCCTTTGGGGCTGTACACTGTATTTCTCTATATTTAATCTTGATTTTTTTTGTGTTATGTTGTGGAATCTCTCCAACTATGCTGAACAGGAGACAATGAAGTTATGTTAAAATCCATTGATTTCGGCCTATACTCACTTGAACCAGAAAGCTTTTCAATGAAGGTGCTCTGGATTTACACTGCTGTTACCAAGAAGAGAATGTATCCAATTACTTGTGAGGTAGTTTTGCACTAAGCAGTGAAATTACTCTAGATTTGTATGTCAACAGAATTTAGCCCAATTTAGCTGACTAGCTTTCTGCAATACATTCTAATTATCCTGAGACTTCACAATGTCTGACAAGGATGGAAAAGTCACAAATCTGTGCAGAGATCTGGGGTTTTTATAGGCAGTTTTGAAAAAAAAAATATATATGCACACACAGAATCATTCTCAATCAAATACTTCTTACAAAACAAGACCTACTGCTATTTTTGAAATTTTAAAAAGCAACTAAAAAAACCTTTAAAAACACCTAGGCAGGCAAAATTGCTGCTAAGGATGGTTTTCTCTGGAGTATGAGTCAAAGAAAAATACAAAATACAAACATTGCATTCTAAGTCCTGAGAAGAACTTTAGAAACTTCAGGGCAAAAGCAGCCTTTGGGCAACATTCATCAAGGCTGTCAAGAGACAGAAAAGTTATCCTCCAGCAATGTGTAAATACCATATACAGATACCAGCAAGCATTTTGGGGGAAACGGCAATGCTGGCATTGACAGGTTGCTAAGATAAGGCCTCTCCCCATTTAAGAAATGCCAGCACTCCAAGGGCTCTTTATGATCATAAAAGACCCAAACTACAGTGGGGAGAAGTAAAGTAGGACATAAAATTTTATTCTGAAATGATCTCTGGCCACAACAATAAAATGTAACAAATATTCACTAGAACAGTCTTAACTCCTGTCATCAGCTGTACAATACATACAGTATCATAAAACTGGCCACTAGGATTAAAACCCACTACAACATCTTTAATGTTAAGTGGCAACAGCAGCATCTCACAGAAAATTATACATACATATATACACAGTCCACATTCAATCATTTTTCACATGTTTTCAGTACACACAGTTGCAGCATATTACAGTCACGTGTCTAAGTCGTTGCCCAATAAAAACCCAAGCTACTGCTTAGACGTAATTGTAGCAGTTGAACTGAGTAATTACAATTTGTAGCAGAGATGTACAAGCCCCTAGAAACAATAATTCACAAATGTTTTATTTAAATGCTACCATAGCATTAACTTGGACAATATTATAATCTTTGTTGACTGGAAAAAGAAAAAAAAAGAGTTATTTTTATACTTATCACAAATATTATTGATGGAAAAATACTAAAAAATGGAGAGCATTAAATAATGCACACCTTTTCCTAAAGATTCTAATATTGCCCAATGCTACTTATGTCTAAAGTGTTTTCAACATTCCCACGAAGTCATTTATAACTCCAAACCACCCACCAAGTTAAAAGTGGCTTAAGTGCCTTGCACCCAAATTGTAAAAATCCCTGGCCACCTTTATAAGAGCCAGGCACATATAAAAGGAATGCACTTTGGTTCATACCAAATGCCCTGGGATTAAATCACACTATAAAACTAAAGAGTTTGAGGTAAATTTTTACAAATACAGTTGATTTCTGTCTAGTGTCACCTTAACAAAAATTTATTCAAAAAAAATCAATTTGATGTTAAAGTACAACCGATGAGGAAGGGCCATCTTTAACCCCTTAATGAGACTTACTGCAAGAACAGAGCGTCCTCTCCACCCAGAAGTGTGATTGCCTTATTGTTTCTATTAAGGCCTCAAAAATCTACAGGATGTTTTAAGACAGGTATAGCATTTAAAAATAGATTTCATCCTTACTATCCTATATTCAAAGGGTTAAAGAGGCCAAGATGCATGCCCTACCACATGGCATTTGTAACAAAAGGCACATTGTTAACACCAAGGGCACAATTAATCCTCTATTGTTAATCTACACATCTTGCATCACTCTGTTGTTCCAATACACTTAAGTGGTAATGAACACTCCAGTGGTGCAAGAAACTGAGCCAAGTGAGACTGCAACCAAAGACAAGACAACACTGTGCTATTACTAAATCTGAAAATAGCTCAGACATCCCCAGACAATGGTAACATGTGAGACTAAGCACTGTTTCCAAGCCAACTTCTATCAGCCTAATTATCAGAGCCCTTATAATAAAATCACATCAAAGCAAGAGGCAACATCCTTTCCCCCCTCCCTCCTTTTTTACAGGTATAAATAAGCTACAATAAAAAGCAGCTCTATCACTTAAAAACCTTAATGTAGCTGCTTCTTTTGAGTATAGAGGAAGTTCCACTGTATCTGGGTTAAAAAAATAGCTCTGCACACTATATTTTGGCCTTAAAGTTTCCGGTAGCATTTATGAAGAATGTCAGTCATAAATGCATTATTGGCATTAAGAACTGGTTACATGAAAAAGAAAATGTAGTGGTTTTAGCCCATTAATGACCCATGAACATTACGAATGTTTTCACCTTAAATTTTCATGAAAAGTAGGAATAAGTATCAGTGTTTTCTTTGAAATATATTAAGGGGGAAAATTCTTTTGCCACCCCTAATATAAGCATTCCTATTTCTTAACTTTCGTAGAAATAGCTAAGGAGAAAATAAGTGGTAAAGCCAAGTAGTTGGTGAAGGAACTAAAGAATCCCAGTTACTGCAAAAAAAAATACACAGTATTGTATTCCCACAGTCATGAGAGTCTCATCAGTTAATTTTATACGAAAATTAATATATTTCTTTTCCAGACTTAGAATTTACCGACCATCAGTTAATGGACATTTGTAGTCCAAAAGCCACTTTTCTTAGCTGTATCACTATATTTCATTTTTAACATGATTCCATACATGTTTACATATTGCACTTACATACATTGTACAAAATTGTGAACATTTAACATCTAAATAATTTAATTTGACTAGAGGCAGGAAATGATATTTAAAAAGAATAAGAAAAATGGTTGATTGATGCTCTATTGTTTACAGTTATCAATCAACAAATACCTTTCTCTACTCAGAAATTATTTTTGGAGCTTCTTTACATGTTGACTTTTTGGCAAGAAGTTGAGCGATATGTTTCCTGAGAATTCTGTCATTTCTTATTTATATCCCTCCCCCAGTCTTACATTAAATTAAAAACAAACCAAACACAGACAAACAAACAAAATTAAGCTGTAAGTGGTAAATATTAATGAACATGAAGGAGAACTTAACCGGAAACTTTCTTGGCCTCTCAGGGGACCATGCTTTAAGTATTTTTTGTAATTTGTAAAAGTAATTATTAAAATCTGTGCATATATGTTGTTTATACCAGAGTCACTGAGGTTTTATGCAATCCATTCTAGTCTCTCTTGTTCTCACATCCACAAATCCTTCCAGATTATGCTCCACTTTGTTGAAAATTCCCTTTTCGCATGCTTTTATACATCCAATGTAGACCACAGTCATTGCATGTGATAAAATACTGATCTCAGATTTCAAACTTTTTCCTGTTGAAAATACGCTACAATGCAGGAAAATACTTCTCACGTAGGTCTAGATATTATTCCCTAGTAAAGACCATCTTTCTTCCATGAGTCTAGTTAAAATTAAAAATGAAAACCCAAGCATATGCACACATACACATGCAAACAAATCTACATGTATCTCTAACTGTTCCTTCAGAGTCATTTTCAGCTACAAATGCTGAAGATTAATTCAAACGCCAATCACTTAACTTTCCTTTGATATTTCTCTCTTAGTAAGTATCTAGAATAGTGTCTGCTAACTGAAAAGCTTTCCACAGAGGAGCTTTCCATCTTCAGTCATGCTCTCTAACAAGAAGTACTTTTCCACAAAGAGCAATATAGTAACATAGTGTTTACCCCGCCTGCAGATTTGATCTGAAGTGTAAATATACCAGAGAAATCACAATCCATCAGATAGACATTTTCAGGAGAAATAAACAGTCTGTGAAATCCATGTAGCATTAACAGTCTGGAAGTTACAGTATTAAAGTGACAGAACAAGCATTTCTGCCTATGTGATTTAGGGAGGCCAAGCTCCACATTAAGAGAGAAAAGAAACCACGAGAGGAGAAGGAAAAAAAAAAAAAAAAAAAGAGAGAGACCCAGTGTGAATGCTTTCTGCTATAAACCTGAAACGAAGTCCAGAACATTTTGCTTTTACGTGACTTCAGCTTTAAAAAACAACTCATCTGTCACTTTCATATTTAGAGGAACACATATACTTCCACCTCCGTTCTTTCCCAGACTGCCTGTTCCTTTCACTCTACCACATGCATGAAAGCTAAGAGAATCGTTTTAGCCCTGTAAGTTCTTCCTTTTTTGCATTTATATTTAAACGCTCATTTTAATCAATAACATTGTTTTCAGATCGAGAAAGCATTCCATAGGAGGTGACTGTATCATTACTAAGTGATACCACTTTCTCTGGGCTCCTATATAGAAAATGACAATATTGCATGCTATGGCTCTATTTCAAATAACAGTTTTACAGGTCTTAACTGTACTTATTTGAGTATTCTCTCCGGAGTCAACTTAGGCACAGGCATGAGTGTTTGCAGGATCAAGACCTGTATCTGTAAACTCCAGAAGGTAGAGTCAAACAAAATTATCCCAAGTGAAATCTAATATGAACCATGGAAGAAAAAGGTTAATACCTTTGACACCACGTTGTAATGCATGACAGTCATGTTGAAACCAGTGGCCTGCCACTGATGTTTATTACTGTGTCACACTGTGTTACAGTAAGGCTAGTTGTACTATAGAAGACAAACATTTTAAAAAATAAGTATAAAAACTTAAAGCATTGTCCCCATATTTTTATAAAAACAAAAATCAACATTTCTTACATTTAAAATGAGTGCTGAAAGATACAAATGAATAAAGTTATTGAGCAAATAAAAATGTAAATCTGAGCTACTTTTTCATACAAATAAGGCTCAGCCACATTGTATCTCTCATATTAACAGCATTGGGTTTTTCAAACTCAGCTAACGAGTTTTGGCAACACTGTTCTCTGCTGAATATTCCCATTGGCATCTGTCATCTGTGCCAAATTAGTCCTCAGTTTTGAAGCTGAGCTTGAAGTCGGAGGTAACTTGGAAATCGACGTTATAGCACCAGTGCTCTCTGTTATTCTCTTTGCCGAGGCCTTCTCCCCAGTTGGAGGCTTTGGCAACCGTCTCCTTAGCCAGGGGTGACGCAAAGCCTGGCTAGGTGTCATGCGGATAGCAGGATCCCATTCTAAACACTGTTTTAAGAAGTCAAGGAACAGGGGATCATCACATCCCTTTAATGCATTACCCCATTCTCTGCTCTCTGGTGGGCCACGTAATTTTCCCCTTCGAGAGCGTCCACCATTGAGTATTACAGAACCGTCAGACAAGGTTGTGATGCTGCAATAGCGGGGATAACCCTTAGAGCTCACAAAGTTTTTGGCTCGCTTGGATGAATCTAGGAGTTTTGGAGAAGGCATGCCCAATAGCTCAATCATACAAGCCAGCTGGTCTCCTTCATCTTCTCCAGGTAAAAGTGGATAACCAGTGAGAAGCTCTGCTAGAATACAGCCCAAGCTCCACATATCTATGGGCATTCCATAACGAGCACCAAGGATGACTTCAGGCGCACGGTAAAAACGTGACTGAATGTAAGTGTAGACACGCTGATGCTCATAACAACTTGAGCCAAAATCAATCACTTTAATACCACTTCTACCCTGTTGCTTCAACAGAATGTTCTCTGGTTTAAGGTCACAGTGAATGATTCTATTTTTGTGCAAAGCATCCAAGCACTGCAAAATTGAGTGGGCAAACTTGCGGACCAAAGGCAGGCTGAAGCCCTGAAACTTGTTTTTCTTTATTAATTCATAGAGGTTCATGCTCAGCAATTCAAATGTCATGCAGATATGGTTGCGGAATGTGAAGTTTTCCAACATGTGAATAACATTCATGTTGTTATCCTTATCTTGTTTCCGGAGATGCTCCAGGATCCTAATTTCTTCCGCAGCTTGGCGGTGGAAACGTTTTTCATTCCTCACCATTTTTAGTGCCACATGCTGATGCATCTTGTGATCGTAGGCCTTCACCACCTGCCCAAAGCTTCCTTTCCCTATAACTTTCAGGACTTCATACCTGTATGCAATATGATCGTGGGGTACTTGCACGTAAGACCCCTGGTCATCATCATACCCGCAATTGTTTGGACCACCAACCACACCTTGCCGCTTCTTTGCATTTGGACCCAAAAAGTATATTTCAGGGTAGCCGAAAATTTCATGATGCTCGAAAGCTGTTAATTTTTGCATGTATTGCTTCATTGCCTGCTCTGGTGTCATAACAGAGGCTTTCACTTTCCCCGTTCCATCTGTAGATTTTAAAGAGCTGGAGCTCCCTTGTCGTCTGTGAGAACTCTCCGACTGTCTGTCTTGAACCACCGGCAATCCAGATTTGCCAAGTGTTGTAAGTCCATTTGGCTGCGTTGTCAGAACTGTCCTTTTGTTACTATTATCTTCGAACAGCTGTTGAACCTGGATTTGTCCGTGGCTACCAACATGGAGGTGCTCATTCATTGTGTGCTTATTGCCTCCGATCTAAAATTGAAAATAAACACATTTCCAGTTAACAAGAAGGGCATGAACTCTACATTACATCATGCATTTTGCAACCCACCATCCTACCTAAACCGCCTCAAAAACTAAACATTTTCTTAGAAGTCAGTTGCCTACAGCTAATTTTAAAAAATAGAGAACTAATTTTAAAAATGCAGCAAATATACTATGATATTGCTAGCTGTCATTATATTTTTAAGATCCTTGTATTTCAAATGCCACTTTCACGACTCTCTGAGTAAAATATTCACAACAAGACAATCACAGATTTGCTACTATCATAAGCTAACAAGTTCTCCAAGGAATCTGCAAGGCAACAGTCCCTTACATCAAGAAGTAAGCTGGAAGGATATTAAAGTCGACTTTACTGAATAAAGTACCAGCTCTACTTAGGCTTGAGAGCTATACATAATGCCCGAAGAACTTTTACAGCTAAAGCTCTCCTAGTCACCTGTTCCTAGAAATCAAGGTTTTAAATAGTTCCAAAATTTGCTGTACATCAGAACTGCCATATACAATTTCAAGGCACAAGGAAAGTGCTATGATATGTACAAAGAGAAAAAGAACCTGGACGTTTCTTAAGCTCAAGAGATGCCATTTGCTGCTTGCTATTGAGATGGTCACTATACAGCAAAGTATTCACATCAATGAAACACAAGTATATCCTTTAGCACTTTGCCAAAGCAGTCTTATAACAACTTTTACCAAGATTAGATTTGGGGCCTGATACAGACTTGACAGAAAAGAAAATCTCTGCCTTGAAGACCATACAAACAACTTCATTTTAAGCGAGGGAAAAGGATTAGTTTATTTTAGAAATCATGTTTGTTCTTGGCAGTTTTCACAAGGGAATAGACAGAAGCATTCAGCATTTTCAATCAATGAAACACTGAAAGTACTGGAGTGCAAAAACAACTATTCCACAAAACTTGTTATTTTTAAGGAGAAACAAGAAATTTACCAACACATACCTGCCACTAAAATGGTTATCTTTAGAATTCCTCATTTGCTCTAAAGTAGAGGATAATAATTGTCTTTTCTGCCTGGTTTTATACAAATGTGGGAAGACTTCCCCTGCTGTCTCTCCACCTGATTCACCAGCCTTAATATTTATGCCAAATTACTAACCAAAAGTTCACTGATATTGTCAGATAGATGATGAAGCCAGCATGGAGACTACTTTTAATCTGAACCTTATTTTCTCTGTGTGTCTAAAGAAAATATACTCATTGTTCACTAAAATTTACTGAAATGAAGTCAGGAAATGACAGTCATGGGCTCTGATATCAGGCAATGAACTCTGTGCTGCAACTGTAGAAGCGCTTCCTAATGAGAAAGTCAGCACATGCAATGCAGACTCTAGCATACTTTATGCTTCTATTAAGGTATCATTCTGATACAGCAAAAATAATGTTTTTCTAAATTCAGTAACTTGTTCCCAAGGAACAGCCAGTTGGACACCAGCTTTAGCTTTGAATAGTATTTTGAAACTTGTAGCTTACACAACGTAAGAACCAGAGCTGTCACATATTATCTCTGCTGAGTTCACTGCTCTTCTGATTCCATTTTGACTCAGGTTGAATAACTGGTCCATTTTATTTCATCATCGTAGTTTGACTGCATATGTTTATTTGCAGAGCAATTTGGGCTCATGCTATCAAATTTGATCGATCTCATAAAAAGGGCTTCTACACACTGTTAATTCAGAGCAAAAGGGCTTGTAACATTTAAGCACAGTGAAGATATATAGGATATTGACACTAATTTGTGTTGCTGGTTTGATATCTCAAAAGCACCAGGAATTAAATCATCAAGGGGGCTTAACGAGCCTATCATGCCTACAAGGAATTCCTTCAGGTCAAATTTGAAGTGCACTGCTGCAGCAGTTTCCTGAAGGTTGCTCTGATCCTCTACTTGCAGCATTCCTTTACTGAACAAAAGAGAACTTGGTCCCAAGAGCTGCCACAGGACTCATCTCAGAAGAAATGATCTAGTTAGTAAGATGTGTTGGAAGGCTCAGCATATGCAGAATTGCAAAACTGCGTAAGTGAGAAACACACAACGAAGCAGCAGAGTAACTGTAAAGACTGCAAGCACTCAAGTCGGCAAATTCCAGGAACGAAGGTTTATTCTGCAGCATTGGTTCAACAACAAAGCAGAACACACCTGCAGAAACTGGGATTAGACAATACCAACATAAGGCAGTGAGGAAGCAAGAGCACAAGGGAAAAAAACATCTTTCAGAATTTCTTAACCCAAGTTATAATTGCCACAATTTAAAACTTGAATTAATTTTATTTTTTCACTTGAGTCACCTGTTTTCAGAGTAAACTATTTTCTGCCCTTTCTAAGTAGTGAATGCTTCAATAGATGCACTAGGGAATTCTTCAAACCTCAGTTATTTGCATTGTATCAGGGCTTCAAAAAAAAACCACATTTATCCACTCTTAAGAGGGACTAAAGATTTATTTTTCCTAAGAACAAGTTTGCAAACAAATGTCCAAAACCTAAACAATGTAGCTCTGCTTCCTGTACCTTCAGGCAGCCTCCCTGTTTCTCTTGCTGCTCACGGTGTTCCCCCCACCACCACGCAAGCAGCACAATGAAGTCATCAGCACTATTCCAGCTTCACCCAAATCCAAAGTGACTGGGTTTTGCCAGTGACCGGTTCAGTCAGCTGCTGCTTAGGAATGCAAATGCAGATGCAGACAGTAGCACTAGATTCCTTTGTGGGAGAAAAGACACCAAATTAGCACAGGCCCTATTCCAAGAGCAGCAGAGGAGAAGAGAGCTCACTCTTCCTCTGAAAACTCCAACAGAGTTTCAGATGTAGTAGACACATCACAACCAGAAAGTGAATATGAAAAATGAAGTTTCCCCCTCTCAGGGTACCGCCTGCACAAGAATCACAACCTCTCCTATTTCCATTTGGGATGAGCAGAGATTTGGATTCTCACCAGCCCATTGCTGCGCCTATCTACTTCTGAGTACTGGGCGTCTGAGATTGCCATCAAGTCCAGGCTTGCACTGCTTACAAACTTCACAAGCTTCACCAGGGGCATTTGTGGTTTCCCTGCACCACAGCTAATGGACCTGGGAAGCTACAAAGGTCTGTAGCCTTCCTAGTCCAGTACCAAACTGTTTATAGTACGCACAAGCTCCATCAGCCTTTCATCTGAAACCATAAGCCCTAGAGAGGTTTATAAACCATCTCCCTGGGGCTTCTGCAGATGGGCCTGTAAACTCCAGAACTGAAGACCTACACAGCTAACAACATGCACGCACTTATGCTCATTTACACCTTCTGAGATTTACATATCTTTATAGCACACATCTGCAAAAACTTACTGAAGCACACATGGCTCACTAAAACATACTGAAATACCAGATAAGCTTGAACTCAAACCTTCTTGAATCATCTGGCAACATCAATTATAAAACAGCAAGTGTTACAGCATTTTTTTCTCTCTCTGTAGTCTTTCATAACTTCAAAATGGCTGCTATGATTTTGCTTGAACTTTTGCTTGCTCAGTTTATGTAAGTAGATGGTTACGCCAAAAACATTCACCTATACTTTAAATTAGAGACACCAGGGAAAAAAATAACCCAAAATAAAAGGATTTTTTTTCACAAATATGTTTAGGGACAGAGGTAGAACAGTAACTTACTATACTTAGACTACAGAGTTGCCGCAGCATAGCAGTAGCATAAAATTGAGTCCATCCTGCTAAAAAGAAAGTAAACTGATTGACAATCCATTTCACATGTAGAGATAACCCCAGCTAATATGGAGATCTATTTCAAGGCCCACGACTATAGGATTCATAACCACAAAAGCATATACCTGTTCTCAACTGTATTTCCCAAAAGCAGTAAAACATGATGTAGTTGTTCTACGCTCCATCTTTGCTGTAAAAGCTCGCATGATGCTAGCACCCAACACAACTATCCAAGACAGGGATGAGCTCCAGTTACAGTTTATTATTTTATTTTGAGCAAAACCCTAGAAAACAGATTTTGCTGTCAGCCAGAATCTAAAATTATTTATAAAATGAATCCTAATAATAAAGGAATGACAAAGATGGACTGTTTAAATAGCACACAGGAAGGAATAAGATGTCTTTATCCGGTCTTACTTCTCATAGATGAGGAGAAATATTGTGCCAAAACAGTAACTTAATTACCCCCCCCCAAAAAAAAAAAGAAAAACCTTACACCATATATCCTTTCTTTAGAATATTTCTGGGTATGCCAATTTCAGCCCTGCGGTGTCTAACACGCTAGAGGCATACAGTATCAGGTGTAGCATGCTTCATTGCTTATTTTGTTGACTACAGCCTGAGCATATGTACAAAAGGCCTTTTTTCCTTGATAAATGAACTCAGCAGCATTCCTGTGTTCAGCACTAAAAATAGCTGCTAATTAGCACAATAACAATAATGCAGGATTATCGTGATGGTTTTATTATTAGTATGGGTTTTACACACCTAAAAAGACTAAGTCCTTGCCCTAAAGAGCTTGTGCTCAACAAGAGATGCAGAAAAAACACATCATTTGGATTTTTTGCTGCTGGCATACCTGGTGTACATTAAGTTTATTTTTGAAAAGTTATCTTTGACTTTATATTGCAAATATTTTCAGAGACAGAACCGTGTATCAGTAGTGATACAGTTTCTCAAATATTTCTGCTGCTATCAGGATTATGTCGTGCATGTGCAGTGAGTTTCAATACTTCTGGGACACCCTGCATCTATTACACACGCTGAAATCAAAGAGCACTGTCAACGCACACCAAATCCAGCTGAGGAAGCTGATGTGCACATATATGAGAGACGTGTCCAGATGTACTACAGCTCCCATAACACTGTTACTCCAACAGTTGGAGCTCCATATTCCAGAAACCTTGAGAAATGTTGACTAGCTTTATATTCCCCCTATACAAAATTTTTAGGTAATAAAAAAGGAAACATCCAAAAAAGCCTAGGCCCAGGTCACAACA